GAGTCCCGGCCGGTCGGGTACCGAGACCTATTAGCGCGCGGCTTCTTTTGTTGTTCTTGCGACTCCGGCCGCCGCTCGGCGAGCACCTCTCCTACCTGCAGGCAGGAGGAGACTCTAGCTCAGAGTTAGCGTGCTTTGATTAAACCTCAGCCCTTGGTTTCCTGCACCCTTCTGGAAAGTAAAGTTTGTAGTTTGGGACACACTGCTCCAAATTACAATTTCTTCCTGTGTCAATATTTAGCCTGCAAAGTAAAAATGTGAGACTAGCAATCGTAACGATTTTTTTTACTTCTGGTTGATTTGAATTTGTAAGAGCTATTCAAAGTTCTAGAGCCTTAAAGAGGGTATTTTTGATGTATTTAGAGACTGCTGTTCCTGAGGCACGGAAAAGCTATGCAAGATGAGATTTTTGTGTGTGGAAGTAGGTTTCCTCCTCCCTCTCAGAGTGTGTAAATAGGGAAGATGTTCTCTAATGGAACACAAAGTTTGCAGCTGTGATCAGTGTGTTGTTTTTGCTTTGTTCTTTATTCTGAAATAGCTAGTAGCAGCAGAGACAAGATACCAAGTAAACTGGAAGTTTCTCTTAATTATGGAGGGAGTCGATAACACTAAAAGGGATATTGCTGCCTCTTCATGCCAGGATGTGTCTGGGGGGGTTAAAACCGAACAAAATGCGAAGAGTAGTTTCTTAGGCTTGTGTGGCCTCTGTTGATATTCTTTCTCTGGTGCAAAAGCCTGGGTACTTTCTAGTGATGTGGCACATAAATATGTTGGGACTTTGGTTCTGTGCATTAGCAGTAAGTTGGTCAGGTGAAGGAAACAAATTAGATGTGATAGTAAAAAATAATAATAATCAAAACCCTAAGAATTGGGGTGCTGTTTTTTTTCTTTCTGGGTGTGTGTTTTTTCTTTTGTTTAGTGGTGTGTGTGGTGTTTTAGATTTTTGGGGTTTTTTGGGGGGGGGTTGTGGAGTTTCAATCTTTCAGGTTAATAGAGATGTCTTGCATTTGCAAGGTATTTCAAAGCTGACAAAAGCTAAACATAAAATGCAGAAATTTGGGTAAACTGCTTCTCCAAAGGGTAGAAAGTATAAAATCAAACCCAAACAAACCATACACATAGATTATTAAGGAAGATAAAAGAAGCGAGAATATCCTATCTTCAGGTTTAATACCCACTTAGTATCTCCCTCTTTCCTGCTACCCACAATTTCTGAGACCAAAAGATAGACGGGGATGATCAGTCTCTGCTCTATCTCAAGCTCCAGCAGAACTAAAGTTAAATTATTTTACTGGAGAGCTACTAGAGAGTTTAAATTGACATTTTGTTAGTAGATTGATTTGCTTTTCGGGGGTGCTTGACTAATGGGATCTTCATTTTTGAAGTAGACATTTAGTCTTGTTTGTCTCAAACCTCTTCCCAGTGGTGGTTTGTGATGCTTGTCTGCCCTTCTCAGGGTAACTGATGCCTATGGAGACCACATGTGCAGCCTCTGATCTCTCATATACACTTAAATTCTCAATGTAGTTTTTCAGTGCTTAGCTAAGTCAAGTTCCTCAAGACTTGAAAAGGTACTTATAGAACATAAGAAAATGTTTAATTTACTAGAGCACAGTATAGTTCATAACCAGTTGCAAAAGCAAGCAGGAGAAATAGATCCTGAAAACTTAGGGTTGAAGAGTTTTTTGATTAGTGATGTTCTGTAGGACATGCATGGTTTATATGCCCTCTGAGAAGCTGGCATTTCCCTTGAGGTGCATGTAATTTGTTTGGCTCTTGGCCACAGAAAATAAAATTCATGTATTTGGAATCATCATGTAATATGTTTCTTGGCAGAAAAAGTAGCTGGGTTACTAAACTATCTAAGAATGTTTGAATGGTTTATAAGCACAAATAATTTTGGAAGTTATTATGGGAAGTTTAGTGTTATTATAATGGGCCACCAGGTACTAATAGCACAACTGAAATTCTACTGTATATTCAGCAGTTCATTTACATCTGTTACAGGGACATGGGCTCATAAAATATTTAAAATTACTCCCTGTATAATTTGGCTAAGGAGGAGTTTTTTGTTCTGCTGGGATCTTTTCAGTGGCTCCACATCTCCTTCTTAAGAACAGACTGAAATCTGAGGTAGTAGGTGCAGTTTGTGTTGACTATGTCCTGCAGGTCTGATACAACCAGGATACAGATACATGTGTTGGGAATACTAGAGGAATATTGAACTGAAAATAGGGGGGGTTTGTGTGCGTGTTTACTTAGTGTTAATGATCCCTTTAAAAAAAAAAGCTTTGTCTGCCATTAATTCAATTGCTAGTTTAAAGTTGAAATTATGAATTATGGCCATCCATGCAAAACTGACTTTGGAAAAAAAGCAAGGTGAGTGGATTTGAAATAGGAGCTGTACTAGGAACTGCATAAACCACTTAACCTGGTCCTTTTAAAGACTTCTAGTTCAGGTGTCTGCACTACTAAGCCTTTTTTGATGTGTAAATATTTAAATTGGAAGTGTGCTGTCTTCTTATCTTCAAAGGACATAGCAGATGAACATGAAGTGAACATATCTATATGTCTTACATGGAATAGGTCCGTGCCCTAAGGGGCATGGCACGAAGGGTGGAAATGTGAGATTTTTAAAACAAGGATCTTGGTGAGCTACAATTCATATGGCTATAGTAGTAGACTGCAGTACTCTTAGAAGCAATTCTACATATTAATACAACATTAATTTTGCATAATTCCTAACCAATGTTTTAATGTTTGTTTTAATGGAATGGTAACACTCCTTTCGTGAATTCTGTGTGCTTGTTTTGTGGAAGAATTCTACTCTCCCAGTTGTCACAAAGGCTTGTTAGCTGTGTGTGGAGTTGAGAACAAATTGGCCTGACTTCTCTAGCTGCTCTTATGTAAAATGGGTAGAAGTGCAGCAAGGAGGAGGATTAAAAACCTTCAGTAAAATTTGTTTTGACCATATGGCTCCGGAAACCCCGAGTTTAGATACAGTTTGAGAATGAGAAATAAACTCTCACTTTGACTTCAGTTAGGGGTGAGTGGAGAATCCACCGCTGAATTTGGAAGCACGGCTCTGTTGAAACTTCGGTGTCTAGAGCTGTTCTTGTGACACATTGCAGTAGTGACCTGTGCTCTGTGTTTTCTTTTACAGTCTCAGTCACCATTCTTGACTGTTACTAAGGCCATGAACGTGCAGAAAGATCATTCATTTCATACTGAAATAGCGAACTTGCCTTTTGGGAGGTGCAGGCCACTTCTTTAACTCAGTTTTGTATTGCTGTTTGTTCCTGCTGCTAAGGGCAGGATAGTGGCATTGTAGAAAAAATGAGGTGATTTTGTTAAGGTCTGTACCCGTGTTGCTTTTGTATAGAGTGCTGGCCTTCAGTGAGAATGTACAGTCTAAAAAGAACATTTCTTAGTCACCTCTTTGTCAGAAACAGGACCACTATGGGTGTTTGCCTGAAGAAGAGAGCCATACCTTTTGTGGTATAGTAAGCAGATAGATGTATCAGTCATACAAGTAGGCAGACTGAGCCCTTTTCCCATTGCTAGTAGTGTTTCCGATGGCAAGCTACTCTCAGTCATTTCTAAGATGTGGTTCAAATATAAAACACAAGGTGGGGATGGTATTTAGTAGGTCAAGTCCAGTAACAACTGGACTTGAAGACTTGGGGAAACTTGATGATAACTTCTGTGGGGTGTGCAAAAATGTTTGTCTTGGCTATTGCAGTGAAAATCAGAGATCAAAATACTTTGAGCAGGACTTATGAACAGGTAGTATAATGTGTTGTTTACACTGTAAGTAAAAGTTCATACTAAAAGCAATTATTTCTGTTTTAGCAGGACTCTGAATATGTCTGGCATAGCTCTTAGTAGACTTGCACAGGAGAGAAAAGCCTGGAGAAAAGATCATCCATTTGTAAGTATGAGAACTGTCAACTTGCTGACTGCTGTTATTTTGGTGTTTTAATTATGATTTTTTTTTTTCTTTATGTGATGTGTTTTTTAAATTAAATATTTTAAATAAAAAAGCTGTTTAAAACTATGTAGGGCAAAAAGAGAACTCTATGTGAAGATAAAATGTCATGAAGTAATTTAAGCACATCTTCTGAAATCCTCACACTTTGCCTTTTTGCTGTAATTCAGGGATTTGTAGCAGTACCTACAAAAAATCCAGATGGCACAATGAATCTAATGAACTGGGAGTGTGCTATTCCAGGAAAGAAAGGGGTAAGACTTACTGTTGTCCTCTTGTCTCACACTACTTTTCACTATAAGCCTGCTCACTGACAAAAGGGAGAGTATAACTTACATGTAGTTTAATAGAAATGTTTGGATCCTGCTGCTGCTTTAGAATCCAGGTGGAGTGGGCTAAGAATGATATTAGACAAAATATACCATAAGCCTATTCAGCTGTTGGCACTGACCATCTTAAGAATTTAGTTTTTCAGAGTAATGTGTAGGAATCCTGCATTGATCTGATCTGAGCTTATCAGCTTTATGCCAGGGTTTATTGTGACTTCTGTTCTTACTGGTTTAAGCCCAAAAGCTTGAAAATTAATACTACCAAAATGTTGCCTCTGCTGGTTAACTGCCTGTACTTTTTTTTTTTTTAACCACAAAACAGTGAAATCCTTCAGTCCAAGAGAAGTGATGTAGCACTGTTTTTAACTTACTGGATTTCATGGAAAATAATTTCTAGAGGTCTCTTCCAACTCCAGCAATTCTGTGATAATTCTGCACTATCAACATGGAATCTCACTGACTTCCATTTTATGGAAATATTTCTTTTTCTATTAGGGAAAGCAGAAAACTCTCTAACATTGTTTATTTTTATCTGATGTTGCTAGATGCTGTGTCCTTTTCCGTAAAATAATAAGAGAAAGGAAAAATTCTGTAGAGACCAGAATAATTTATTTTTATCAGGTTGAACTGTTTGTAGGGGATAGGACAAACACAAAGTTTCAGGTGGAAATAATCATTACTGTATGAAACTTCTTTGATTTTTCTACACTGCCATTATAACATCTCATTCTGAGCAGAATGGTGTTTCTATTTTTCAAAATGTTAATTACCACATAGAGATTATTCTTAAATTCACTGAATGCAACTATTTCTTCTGAGATAATACTTAGTTATATCAGAATTTTTTTTGTGGTTTTCATTCTTCTGGGTCTTCAGCATTTCGCATTGGATGTGGGATTTTTTTTGTTGCTTTCCCTGTTCTACTGCCTCTTGCTGACTTGCTTAAATCCCCTTACAATCTCATTTCTTAGAATGTGAGAAGACAACATGTGTAGGAAAGGCCTGCAGATCCTGTATCCCTGCCCCAGTTTAAGGCTTAACATGGCATCGCTGCTATGGGCATAGCTTAGCACAGTACTTTGGAATTTGTCCACACAGCTCAAGTTAGTTCTTAAAGAAGCCCTAAAATAATTTAACAGTGTAAGGAAGAAGTCGTCCCTTTGTGTTCTGACAAAACAAGATTATCCCTTATAATAGCCAGTTATGTATCCTGTCAGGATGTTACCTTTAAATACTTGGGTAAAGTCTTCATCCCAAATGAAATATTCATATTACTGCTTTAAAGTTTTGTAAACCACAAAATGGAGTGAACAAGACCCTTAATGTCCACTTCTTGCCTGTTAAAAAATGCATCACACCAGGAAAAGATTAGTTATGTTCATGTGATTCCTGGTAGAGGTTTATGTAAAAAAAATGAAGGGTTTTGCTTGAGTAAAACTGCTGTCTCTAAAAAGAAGCAGCACACCTTTCTCATCTCTAGCAGACCAACCAGTTACTTTCTGTTGCCATTATATTTAGAGGCACACTGTAGTGCAGCTGCTTCTCCTCAGACAGATGAGCAGTTGAAAGCTCTAAAATGCTTTCCTGTCAGCCAGATAAAAAAATTGAAGTGGTGTTAATCCTGTGTTGGAATCTCCATTCACTTTTTGACAGCAGTTCCCTTGTTAACTACCTAGAGTTTGACTCAAAGATACATCTCCAACCTGTCTAGTAAGGCAATGCAATCTTAATGATACTGCTGTCACACTTATCTCAGTAAGGCTTTTTGGAGTGTCGTCTTTTCATCCATAAGGTACGTGGCTCTATCAGAAAGACAGTAAAAACTGTTTAGTGTTTTGGTGTTATACTTGAAATTATTAAAAGCTGTTGTCTTCCCCTCGATGGAAAGAAAACAAAATAGGAAAAGTTTATTCTATCAGAAGGCTCCTTTCTTCTGAAAATGGACAAGTTTGTCTCCTCTGAGAAGGTGTGGAGGATAGGTATTTCTAGTTGTTGACAACTGGCTACAGCTGTTTAGAACAAGTTCTTTAAATACATTATAGAAAATGTATTCAAACACATTCACTTCTTGAAACACAGTTATCTTAGTATTCTATAGCTCTTTCTTCTAGTCTAACTTGAGACTTTGCACAATAAATACCAAAGACAATGGAGTGCTTTTTGTTTTGGAGGTGGGTTTTTTGTGTGCGTTTTTTCCCTTCTGCTAAAAACCGCATAATGAAGGTAGGAAAGAATTAGGAATTTTGTCCTAAAGTGGTCTTCAAACATACCTGTTTGTCCCTGAGGAAAAGACTTGATTGTTTATGCTGATGAGAGATCATCTTTATTGTAGTTTGTGTTAAGGAGTGAACCCAACACTTCTGTGTAGGACACCTGGTTTCTGCTGTGTAGCAGAAGGATGTCTTGTCCTATGCCAGAGAAACTGTCTTCTTCCTAAGTGTTTTTCCACAAGTTTGACTTTTCCTTGCTGTAATCTAAAACTCAACTTTTTATAGACACCATGGGAAGGAGGCTTATTTAAACTACGGATGCTTTTCAAGGATGATTACCCTTCTTCACCCCCAAAATGTAAGTTAAATAACTAGAGAACATGGGTTTATTTTTAGTCCATGAGGTTCTGTGCATGGTTTCCACAAGTTTGACTTTTCCTTGCTGTAATCTAAAACTCAACTTTTTATAGACACCATGGGAAGGAGGCTTATTTAAACTACGGATGCTTTTCAAGGATGATTACCCTTCTTCACCCCCAAAATGTAAGTTAAATAACTAGAGAACATGGGTTTATTTTTAGTCCATGAGGTTCTGTGCATGGTTATTACTTCCCTATAGGATTTTTTTTTTTTTTAAGGAAAGTTGTGTTTTTCTTGTTTTCACACCACTTCACATTTTGAAAGCTGTGATGGAATTAGTTAAGTGATCAGTATTACAAAATATGGTGTGAGGAGGATTGCTGTGCAGATTTCTTTGAAGTTTAAGAAAAGCAGCACTCTAAGTGTTCACTACTTGATTGACACTCTTGGAAACCAATTGGCAGGCATGGTTAGACCAAATCCCTTTGCACATTCTTACTGTTAAGTTGGTCTTCTAAGCCAAGACCTTGGAAGGCAGGAACTTAGAAAAAATAATTTTAAAAAATTCTATCAACTTTAACCTTTCCATGGACTTAATCTAAAACATGGATGTATTTTTTCCTGGTACATTGTACAACAGATATATTCAGATGCATAGTTTCCTTGTTAAGTTTTAGAATTTTCCTTATCCCGTCTCTGACTTACCTACCTCAGAAATCTGAAAACATGTATTGCCTTGCCTTGGTACTTGAACTGGTTGTGTGTGTGTGGTGCTTTTATTTTGGGGGGTGGTCGTGTCTTCAGCCAGTTGTTTGGGTTTTTTTGCCCACTGATCTAAACCAACTCTCTGATCTTGGTCTTAGTGCTACATGCAAGTAACTTTCTCTTCTTCATCAGGTAAATTTGAACCACCATTATTCCATCCAAACGTGTATCCTTCGGGCACAGTGTGTCTCTCCATCTTAGAGGAGGATAAGGACTGGAGGCCAGCAATCACAATTAAACAGGTCATTAATTGTACTTAGACATATTCTTAGCCCTTTTATTTGCTTTGCTTGCTTATCTTATGTGGATGTAGGATGTTCACCAAGTGTTTCTACAGTTGGTTTCTAAGGATTTTTTTCTAGTTGAATGTCTCTTAGTAATACCCATGCCTAAGTTACTTCCATTCCTTCATCCACAGATCTTGTTAGGAATACAAGAACTTCTAAATGAACCAAATATTCAAGACCCAGCTCAAGCAGAGGCTTACACAATTTACTGGTAGGTATCTTTGCATATCAGCTTGAAAACCATTTAATTGCCTTCAACCGTCTGTTACTTATGCAAAAACATACAAATATTTTTAGGAATGATCAGGTGATTTTTTTTACCTTCATAGCTGTATCCTTCGGGATGCCTAGCTTGTGCTAAACTTGAACAAAACACAGTAGCTTCACAGTTAATAGGCTAGTAGATCTTTAATACCATTGCAACAGCAGTCGAGTGTGAAGACTTGTTTGGTTAGACCATGATTCTAGCCTAACATGGAGTCCTTTCCCTTAAAGGCTAAGTAGTTGTGATGAGGAATAACGATTTGATGAGACCAGTACTAGAGAAGACTGAATTGGGTGACAAGTCCCATTCATCAGTGTAGGAGTAATTTGCTTCTGTGCAGTAGTGGGTAACTATATAAGCACTTGTGCCTGAAGCATAAAGGAGAGTTTCTTTGATTGCTGTAGGAAATGTGGCATTTTGTGAGAACTAGATAATCCAAAAGCATAGGTTAACAAGTATAGAAAACTTGCAGCTTTAGCAGAATGAAGTTTGCATTGGTTAGGAAAAGTGATAATTTGCAAGCTCTTTTTAGGCTTAGTCTTAAAATTTTCCTACCACTAAAAGTAGATGGCTGATCTGTAAACTTTAGGGGAGCAAAATGCTTGAAATAAATGCTTTTGGCATTTAGCTACTGAAGTAACAACCAAGGTGAAAATGTGGAATTACCATTCTGGACAAAACAAGTCTCTAGGAGAGTGCAAGTTTGAGAAATGGCATTTTATGAGACTTCACATGCAAGCTATGTTAAAAATAGATTTCTGATACAAGATCCTATTGAAAAGTAAATTAGGGATAGATAGTGCATCTTGGATTTAATGTTGCAGTCTAAGTATCTACTGAAGACTTGATGGGATTGAATGCAAAGGGGGGGACAGTTAGGTGACCACGTTTCTCAGCAGCACCTTTGAGAGCCAGTGATGGTAAGGCAGGCCTCCCCTGCTTTTTTTTTCCCCTAAAAAAGCCTCTATGAAGGAAGATGGAGCAGGAATAAGATTACTTATACATGTATAAAAGTATGTGTGTTTTTTTTTTATCACCTCCCACACACATGTATGTATAAAAACTCTTTGCTAGTCTTGTTTCTGCTTTATTGTAAGTGCTTTTAGAAAAAATCTATTTGGAATAAACTATTACATGTTTTTTGCTACTTCAAATATAGTTACCTCATTCATCCTCTTGTCTTCTGGACATGCACAGTATTTCAGATGGGTTACTATGTGTCTCATGCTCCTTAAAGAGTACCTGGCAGAAGCTCAACAGCAGATTATGTCTGCATCTGTAGTTTGGCAGAGCTGATAAATATTGGGGAAGATGAAGTGTGGTTTAAATAGATGCCTTTTAGTCAAGTTGTTAAACTTGAAGAATAAACTTTGTATTCAAAATAACACTTGTTCTCATTCTTAGGATTGCTTTGGTACAATTGCTCTGTAACTTCAGCACTTCTGCTGTGCAAACCTACTTCCTCTGCTGTAGGCATAGAGAGTCTACAATGGCAGACATTCTTTTGTGGATGTGAGACTTCACAGCTAGGTTGTGTTCTCACGTGGAAATGCAATATAACTTAAAATTTTAGAATAAAATTTGTAAGTTTGTTTGTGAGAAGAGACTATTTTCAGTATATTTGCTGATAATTGCTAATTGAATGTGACCAAAATTGGCTTACTTTCTTCTTCCCTCCAAATGGTCAACTTCTAAGGATATAATTTGCTGCCTTTTTTTTTTTTTTTTTACTGCAGCAAGCCTTCATAGCTGAAAATAAGTTTACTGCAAAGCTGTCTGCAAAATCTAGTAAAAAATCACTGTAAACTACCTTTGGCACAAGAGTAATGGTAACAAGTTTTTGTTCAGCTCTTGACTGACACTTCTGACAGCTAATATAAAATATGGTGTTAAATGTCAATGGACGCTGTACTAGGCTACTACTATTCCTTGTTGGCCCAAGAATTAAAAGCAAAGAACTTGCCCCTTCATGTGTCGAGTCTGAGGCTTAATGACTTGTCATGGTTCCTTGAAGTGGTACTTGCTTATTTAATCAATCTGTATCTAGTATGTTAGACTCGGTGAACCGTAATGTTTTTTCAAAATGTTGACTTAGCTTTTCTTCTTCAGCTGAAGGCTAGGATAAAACTAACCCTGTGAGGCAGGGTCTGCAGTGCAACTACCATACCCTTACCATTTTCCCCTTTCTTAAAAAATCATGAAGTCCACCAACTGTTAGTGAACTGCTTGTATTGACCACTTTGGCCTGTTAGGATACCGACGTTTATTGCTGATGGCCTCAGGTCTTAACATGGGGAGTGGAAAACATATGTCCAGCTGAACAAGAATGGTTGCACATCAGGTACAGCTAGTGCAAACGTGCTGGTAGTGACTGGTGTGGTGTGAAGTCAGATAGTGCAATCATTGGACAACACAGGAACTTTGTGAAGTAACTAGTTAAACAGTACCTTGCGTTCTTCCAAAGGAAATTAGCAGAGTAATGGTCTAGAAAAGCCTTTAATATGGTTTCAGTGAATTCCTACCTAATGGTTTTGTCTTCAGCAATGACTTAGTTTCATATTGAAGAGAAATAGAACAATAACTCTATAGTATGGTTTCTGACTTACCAAGCTGTAATTGCCCTTTCTCTCTCTTCTATTCAGCCAAAACAGAGTGGAATATGAAAAGAGGGTTCGAGCACAAGCCAAGAAGTTTGCACCATCATAAGCATCTGTCATGCAGCATCTTAAAAAGGAAGGGATTGGTTTGGCAAGAACTTGTTTACAAAACTTTTGCAAAATCTAATGTTGCTATGTACAATTAATATCCACTTAGGGGAGGGGGTTGTATGTGTGCCATTTTCCATATTCGCCACTTGTATACAGTTCTAAATTTGCTGAATTGCCCCCAGTTTTTTCATACAGGGTCTCTTCCTTCAGTCTTTTGTATTTTTGATTGTTATGTAAAACTTGCTTTTATTTTAATATTGATGTCAGTATTTCAACTGCTGTAAAATTATAAACTTTTATACTTCTATAAATTCACTAGTATCTCTAGTTACTTTGCTATCTGATGCAGGCATGCTTTAAAATGTTAGAACTATATTTAGCCTCTAGCTGGCTGTATGAAAAAAATCATGCCCTCCACCCCCTTCCCTCCCTGAATTTGTTTTTCTATCTTTCAGAAACTAGGTTGTAATTGCTTAAAAGCCTCTGAGATCCCAAGTCAGCCAGCATCCTTATTCTGCATCACTTCCTTTGTGTTTATATGGCGTTCTGTCTGTGTTGCTGTTTAGAGTAAATAAACTGTTTATATAAAGGGCTTTGTTTCATTTATCTTCATTAAAATTATTAAAAGACTGCCATTTAAACGGCTCAGAACCCAAATCAGTGCAAGTCTTGTTCTTAAGGCTGGTGATGCTGCATTTACCTTTTGTTTAGATGTTGCCTTCATTTCTTTTCCCTGCCTCCATCCCCAACACAAATGTGGCCCCTCTTCAGGCCCTGAGCAGCAATTGCTTTACAGCTGTTCAATGTTGATCACTTCCTTAAGCAGTTTATGAAATTCTGACTGGAGACCAATTGCTTACTTTGCATAATGGGATCAACATACTTGTGTGACTAATGTAAAATTAGACAAGCATTAGGCTGATATGAACAATAATAAAAGCTGTTCAGGGAATGCAAGGTGACCTACAGCAAACGAGGGTTTTAAATGGTACCTGTTCATCAGAAATACTTTGTGCCTTCTTCCATATGTCAATGTATATAGCTTTTAGGAAAAGGATGTGCTCTGTGCAATTACAGTTTCCTTCTGTAAAGGAAATCAGTTAAATGATGTAAGTTATTTTCATGTATGTCAAGCTGATACGCCCTCTATTAAACTTTCATTGCTTTTTATTGTATTTTTAGTCAAATCATTCTGCAAAACAGATGAAGTGTGAAAAGCTTTGTTCCATCTGAGCTGTAGCTTCTTCAGTGCTTTTGTTATTTAAAAAATGGCTACTGCTAAGGATGCAAGTTACTCTGTGGCACAGCTCTGTTCTCAGATCTGTTCTGCTTGTCTGCATTTGGTTGCAATACCTTTGTATCATAAAAGCATACCCCTAAATCAGAATAGTGAACACCTTCATGTTCTTAGTTCTTTAAAAATTGTGCAGGATTGCTTCCTTGTCACTATCTAGAAATCCTAGTTATAACAGCTGGTTGGGAGACTTAGTATGTTTGAGGTAGGAAAGTGGGTAATTGACAAACTTGAGTTAAAGATTAATTTACTTGGGCTTTTTTTTCTTTTCAAAGGGAAATGGAACATTTGTACCACCAAAATTGCTACAGGGACTCCCAATTCTGGCTCCAGTAGGGCCAGTAGCATTTCATCTCTAGAAGAGGGTTAAGAGGTCAAAATCTTGCCATGTCTTGAAGAACATCTACACATGAAGGTAACAAGTCTGAATTCTCCTCAGGTTCTCCAGTTCTACTGAAGGATTGCTGAAGTTCAGTTGGGTGCTGGGAACTTAGAAGAACATTTTGTGTAAATGTACAGAAAACAACGTGGCACTTTGACTATACAGACTGGCAGGCATCTGGTGCAAGTGCTAATGAGAATCTCTGACTCAACTCTTTAAGGGTCAGGCTTTATTTCTGACTTGGTAGATTGCCACTTCAAGTCATGAGAATGCAGGCAGGTAGCACTGGTGAACCTGTGGTCTGAAGTCTTATGTTACAGTTTGAATTGAAAGTGCCAAAACACTGTATATTGCTTATGACTGTCTTTTAGACTAAATAAAAAAACCCTGCATGTAAAGTTCCTGAAAAGCCATTCTGGGAAGTTTGAAGTAATTCCAGGAAGCATTTTTTCCTTTTAAGTTTGGCTAGTCAGTTTTATCCTAAACTAGATGAAGTAGTTGAAAAACATATGGCAGGCTCAAGCCTGCAAAAAGTCAGAGGCTCCTGACATGGTAGGTACTTAGGGCAATAATGTAATGTTTTCCGGGTGAAATATAGCTCAGAAGTTAGAAGGGTGTACTTAAATGTACTATTAGGTAAAAGTGTAATCCCTGTAAACCACATTGATGAGAATATGGGATTTTTTTAACATGTAACTAAGCTTCAGCCTTTTTACATAATAATTGGCATTCCATAAACAAGTGTCTAAAAATTAAAGAAAGGTCTGAGACCTTTATATGCATAAATAGACCTATAAACTCACATCTAGCCTGAGGTTCACCTAAAGAAGTATTTGCTAAGTACCAAGCTACAGGTAAATGAGCCACACTTAACTGTTCACAAGAAAAAGTCTTTATAGAACATGTTGCAACTCTTTGGAATGGTTTTGGGTTGTTTGTATGTCTTTGTGGTATGTGGGGTTTTTTGGTTGGTTGGGTTTTTTTTAGTTTTCAGGTAGTTGATTTATTGGCTGTTGTTGCAGCAACTTCACTATCATCTTCTGGACTGTTCTCATCACTTTCAGTAGCATCATCTGGAGTGCTTGTGCTGTCCTCCTCAGATTCTTCATTGCTTTGTGCTAGTCTGGAAACATTTTTCAGGATTATGAAAGTGCAACACCTTGTAATAAGAAAAACAGTACTTAAATTAAATTCTGTTACCCTGGGGAACGGATCGGTCTGTTAGGATTAGAAAATTCTTTTCCTGAGTCAACATCAAATGGATCTGGAAAAAAGAAGGAAAAAACGCACACATTGATGAAAAAGGTATATTTTAATGGTCTGCCTTCATTCATATTTAAAAAAGAAGATTATTGGCAAGGTGGGAGATGCACAAGAAGTGTGATTCAGCTTTCTGCTAAGTTTACCATGTTGTTTGATCAGAAACCAAAGGAGGTGAGAAAACAAGTCCTGCCCCTGCCATTCGTCTTTTCACTCTTCCATACCCTTTGTGCCCCCTGCCCCCCAAGGGGTTCA